TCATTCTTTAATTTTTGGTATCGTATACTTGTATTTGAATAATATGAATGATTGTTTATAGTTGTTGCCTTGTATTATAATTTGAAACATTGTTTTGTTTTTCTCCGTGTTGTAGGTTAGAATGTTCCACAGGGTGTGCTAAAATTCCCAGTGTTGAAGTCAAAATAATGGATAATTTTTTATGGTTTGTTGGCTTGTATTAATATTTGAAACAATGTCTTATTTTTATTTTTTCTATGCTATGTATGTAATGTAAGTTTTGGTTTGTTTATATGAGTTAAACAATGGATGATTGTTTATAGTAGTCGGCTTGTATTAAAATTTGAAACATTGTTTTAGTTTTTTTCTATGTTATGTAAGTTTTGATTTGGTTTGATTTGGTTTGGTTTAATTTTGTAAGTTAAAACACTGGATATCGTTTGTCATTTTTGGCTTTATTAAAATTTAAAGCAATATTTATGGTTGATTGTTTATAATTGTTTATGACATATTTTTTCAAGGAGTCTTTGGATAATTAACTTTTTAAGACAAATTTCACTTTATTTTTTTTGTGGTATTGGCTATGTGTACCTAATCTCTCCGTCATCTAAAACAATTACCGAAATCTTTGTAGTTTTTGAGTTACACATGTTTATAATTTTAATTGACAAGAGTTTGTGTGCATAATCTATACCACAGGTGTAAATTGGTGAGTTTAATTCAAAGAATAAGAAAAAGGCATTTAAGTTGATTTATTGGTTAATGAAAGTCAGTGATGAGTTTTAATTCACAAATCATAAAGAGTTGAAGTGAGTTGGTTTCTGATGAGGATTAACCCAATTGGGAGCTTATTCCAAAACTTATCAATATGAGAGTGGCATTTTATATTGGAGATTTTCTCTATAATTTTTGAGTAGTCATAAAGCCTTGTTAAGGGACTCTGGTTGTTTTTGCAAATGGAGGTTTTGGGCTGATGTTTTGCTGCTGTTTTGTTTTTGTTTTGTTTTGGGTGCCTGAATTTTTTTTGGTGGCAAATTTTACTTTATTCTATTGTAGTTTGATTTATTTGTAATTTTTCCCTTATCATTTAGGAATACTCACATAAATTTTTATGTAATTTGTGAATTAAAGTGTACCATCAAATATTACATTTAAATTAACTATAAGTGTGAAACTCGTGTCAAGACATAAAAATATTATGTGCTCATTTATAAATGTCAAGTGGTAAATTGCATATGGATTAATCGTTCCAAAAAAAAAAAAAAATTACAAATGGATTAAAGCAAACTAGTTATAGAAAATATTTCGACTCCTAAAAAATTACGAAAATATATGTGACTTGTACATTAAAGGTCTTTATGTACAAAAGTATTTTAGTATTTTAACTTAAGTAGTTAATGGGCCTGACAATAAATTTTGGTCTACCAATTATATGGAGGTTATGTAATTGTTGTTATGTTTAAGAGATAAACTGTTCACGAGTCAAGCTAAAAGGAATAAAGTAAAATTTACCTTCTTCTTTCTTTTTCTTTTTTTTGGACAAATTACACCGGTGGTCCTTATATTTTATTCTGTGTCATTTTGGTCCGTACATTTTTAATTGGCTCAATTTTAACCTTTAATTTTAGATTTTGTTTCAATTTGGTTCAATTGATAATATGATTAATGTTTTTTAAGAAAAATTATTACTAAATTGGTTGTAGGGCTGAGCAAAGAATCCGAAAAATTCGTAATCAGATCCGATCCAATCAAATCCGATAGGTTTAAATTGGTTTTTTGAATCCTTGATTCGGTTCCGGATTGAAAAATTAAAAATCCGTAGTCCACAAATCGGTTCCGGATTGAGACCGATCTAGACCGTATACAAATAGCCTATATTTATATTATAAATCCTCCCGTATAATATCTTCTCTTATTCCATGTAAAACCTAAACCCACATAGTATCTTCTTTTATTGCTTTTATTTGTTGGTTTTTAGTTTTAATTTGTAATGGTCTAAATACTTATTGTAGAACCAGTTTTCTTATGATTGTTTAAATTCTAAAACAGTATGTCGCTATTGTGAAAAGACATGTTGCTATTGTGGAACTAATATTATGCTATGTTTACATTTTTATGAAATTAAAATGTTCCATTTTTTTTTGTTATTTAATTATATGAATCTGTAGTCCTAAATCGATTAAATCTGTGTTTAAATGGATTGGTTCGGATTGGTTCCACGATTTAAACGGATTTTATTGATTCTAATTTTTCAAGAATCGTAAATAACGGATTGATCCTAATTTTATCTCAATCCAGACCAATTCGGTCTATACTCACCCCTAATTGGTTGAGATTAACTAACTAAATCTAATAAGTTTATAATTTTGTTCTTAAAAATATAACAAATAACACTTATGTGCTTATTTTTTATTTTAAAAAAATTACTAAGAATTGTTATCAATTGGACCAAATAGAGACAAAATCATAAATTTATTATCAAAATCGAGTTAATTAAAATTACAAAAACTAAAATAATATAAGAATCAAAATACAGAACTACCGTTATAACAGTAATGCTACGGAGCTTGAATCTTCCCTTCCCTGAATCCCCTCAAATTCAAAACGACGTCGTTTCTTCGTTTTGATTTTTTTTTTTTTTTTTCAATAACGCAGAAGAAGAAAAATCAAAAAAGAAGAAGAAGAAAGAGGAAGAAGAAAGGAGGAGGAGGAAGAGGAGAGTAACAGAGAGAGAGAGAAAAAAAAAATCATCAACAACAGCATCATCATCATCATCTTCAGATCTTCATCAACATCATCATCAACAACCATTCATCTTCAGATCTAGAAAAAAAAAATAATTAGATCCAGAACATCTTCATCATCAACAACATCTTCATCAACATCACCATCATCAACACATTTTCAGAAGGAAAAAAAAAAATTTGAGATCGATCTGAAATCGGAGGCGGCGGCGATCGGCAACGGCCTCGACCCTCGATCGGCGACGGTCTCAACCCTCTCTTCTCTTTCTCTCTTTCTCTTTCTCTCCCTCTCTCTCTCCCTCTTCCTCTCTGCGTTTCAAACATAAAGAAAAAAAAAAAGAAAAAAAAAGGAGGGCAGTCGGGGGATTCAGGAAAGAAAAATTGGGGGGGAAAATCATTTTCCCTGTCATAATTTCCCTCCTCTTTTTTTTCGTTGGCTAGTTGATACGATTGTTTAGGAACTGCTTTTTATTTTCTTTTCTTTTTTCTACTTTTTCTTTTTTTCTTTTTTTATTATATATGTATACTTTTTTTATGTAAAACTAGTAGACTATTCGTATCATGTGATTCAAGTTTTGAGAAGTTAGTTAAAAGTTATTTTTTTGACTTTTTTTTAAAAAAATATATAAAAAATAATATAATTCAAAATAAATTACAAGTCAAAATTAACTTTTAATTATATTCCCAAATTAACGTTGCTTTAAAAAGCTACTTTTAGAAAAGTATGCTTTTTAGAAAGCTAAAACTAGTGAAATTCAGCTTGTTTTGTTCTAATTTTCAGAAAATAGTTTTCAGAAAATTTTACTTTTTTATTTTTCGTATTTTAATATTTTCAATGAATCTTTTTAATATTTTAAGTAATTTTTTAAAAAATTTTACACACACCAAACATAAATACACTTAAAAAGTATAATATTTGTGAAAAAAAATCTTTAAAAAATACACTAAATACCAAAAAAATACAAAAAAAAATGAAAATTCAATACCTCTTTCGTATTTTTGTGTATTTATTAATTTTTTAAAATATTTTTTCACAAATATTTTACTATTTAGATACATCTAAGTAAGGTGCATCTAAAAAACAAAAAAAAAAAATTGCTTAAATTTTAAAAAATATTCACTAAAAGAAAAAAAAAATGAAAAACAAAAAACACAGTTTTCAAAAAACTGAATTCAGAAAACTAAAACCAAACAGTATTCCCTTACTTTTTTTTTTAATTTACATTTTTTGTTATACAAATAGAGAAAGCTTATCATAGGCACCTTATCACAAATTGAAATAATTTTATCACAAAATTTTATAACATGACAGGATTAAAATGTTTAAAATTAGCATAATAAAATATTTAAAATTTTGTAATTAATATTACAAAAGTTTGTGACTTGATTACAATATTTTTTGTTACGCTAATTTATAACGAGATTAAACATTTTGTGCTTGACATTACGAAACTTTATGATAAAATTACGCCAATTTGTGGTACCCATATGTTTTCCCTAAAAAATTAAAAAAATAAAAGGTTTACTTTTTTTTTATGAATTATTTTGAAGGATTTTTTTGGAGGGGTTTGTAAACACCACTTTTTTAACAAACAGTTTAACCTTATTCCATACATACCCTTATCATAAGAATGTTACAAATTTTTGTAGTGAAAATTATGAATATTTGTAATAATGATAAAGAATGATGAATATGTATAACCTTAAACAGAGAGTTAAGAACCATTTTGATTAGATAAGTTACGAAATGTCATGTTTAAATTAGTATATATTATGCCATTTTGTTTAGTTTGATTTTCACAATCAATTTTATGAAAAATTAAAAACAAAAAACAAAAAACAAAAAATTAATTTATTTTGATAGATGAAAAATAAAAAATACATATTATTGAACATTCCATTTCTTAAACACTTTCATTTTTAAATTTCTATTTTTTTTTTTTAAACACTTTAAATTAATTCTAACCCTACCGCCTGTTAGCATTTTTTGCTTGAAATGCTTTAACATTTTTTGTTTGGTTTAAAGATTTTATCAAAAATCTGAAAAAGAAGAAGAAAAAATATATATATATAAATAAAACGTCATTCTCTTATCGATATCCAAATTCTTACACCAAACATACACCCTCCACTCTCTGCTTGTTCTCAGCACTGTGTTCGGTCTTGTTTTGTTTTTGTTTCACAAATTCTAAAGCTTTTACTGAAAAATCTGCAATCTCTTCTTGCTTTGCTTCTGATTTCGGGTTTCCCTTTCCTTCCCTTCTGCAATTGGAATCAATGGCTATCGTAGAAGTCTTTCTCGGTGCGTTCCTCACACTGCTCTTGGATAAGATGGCCTCCGGTGAGTGGTTGGAATTTCTCCGCCACGAGGGCATTCATACCCAGCTCAGCAATTGGACCAACACTCTCTCCCAAATTCAAGCACTTCTCACTGACGCAGAGGATAAGCAATTGACCAATCGAGCCGTCAACCTGTGGCTGGACGATCTCCAGGATTTGGCATATGATTTGGATGATTTAGTGGACGACTTCTCCTCCGAAGCTTTGCGACGCAAGCTGATGTCAGAGCAGCCCCAGGCTAGTTCCAGCAAGGTATGGACCTTCATCCCCACTTGTTGTTCCAATTTAAGGCCAAGTTCTGTCATGTTTAATTTCGAAATGAGGTCCAAGATTGAGGAGATCAATACCAGATTACGCAATAGTTTTGAACAAGGTTCGAAACTCTATTTGGTTAAGATTATTGGAACCACACCTACACCTATGACTAAGACTTGGCAAAGACCAGAGTCTACATCTTTAATTGATGAACCTCACATTTATGGCCGAGAACATGATCAGAGTAAGATAATTGAGCTGCTCGTAAGGGGGGATGAATCAAGTCATAGCAATGTTGCTGTAATTCCCATTGTGGGTATGGGTGGGATTGGCAAGACCACCCTCGCGCAAATGGTATACAACCATGAAACCGTGCAGAAGCATTTCGATTTGAAAGCATGGGCTTGTGTGTCAAATGAGTTTGACATTCTGAGAATAACAAAAGCTATTTATGATTCAGTGACTTCCCAAACATGTAGTTTTAATAACTTGGATCATGCTCAAGTTCAACTAAAGCAGGCTTTGGCTGGAAAGAAGTTTTTAATTGTTTTAGACGATGTCTGGAACAATAAATACAGTGACTGGAATGTTTTGAAGAAACCTTTCAGTGATGGAGCCCAAGACAGTAAAATTGTGGTGACAACACGTAACAGAGACGTTGCAAGAATGATGGGAGCAGTTTAACTTCATGACATTGAGGTCCTATCAGCTGAAGATTGTTGGTCATTGTTTGCACAACATGCCTTTGAGAATAGAAGTATTGATGCAAATCCAAATTTGGTATCAGTTGGTAGAAAAATTGCAGAGAAATGTAAAGGTTTACCCCTGGCTGCTAAGGCACTCGGTGGCCTTTTACTATGCAAAGAACGAGATGAGGAATGAGAAGATGTATTGCATAGTAAAATATGGGATTTACCACAAGAAAGTGACATCCTTCCAGCTTTGAGGTTAAGTTACCATCATCTGCCTTCACATTCGAAGCAATGCTTTGCATACTGCTCCATAATACCCAACGACTATGAATTTGAGGAAGAGGAGTTGGTCTTCTTGTGGATGGCAGAGGGTTTCATTCAAAAACAAAGAAAGAAGCAAATGGAAGATGTAGGAGGTGAGTACTTCCGGGAATTGTTGTCAAGATCTTTTTTCAAACCATCATTTACCGGTAAAAGGTCTAAATTTGTGATGCATGTCCTCATCAATGATTTGGCTCAGGTAGTTGCAAGAGACACGTGTTTTAGATTGGATGATAAATTAAAAGATCAGGAGCAATACATAAATCTAAAGAAAGTTCGACATTCATCTTACATGCAAGAGTACTATGAGGGTATGAAAAATTTGAGATCTTTGACAGAGCCATGCATTTACGGACCTTCTTACCATTTCACTTACAAAATATTTCAGATTACAATTTGGCAAGCAATGTTCCCCTTAATTTATTGCCGAAGCTAAGATGCTTGAGGGTGCTCAATATGAGTAGATATCACATCACAGAAGTCCCAAATTCTGTTGGAGATTTGAAACATTTGCGATACCTTAACTTTTCCGGCACCCTTATTGAAGAATTACCTGAATCACTAGGCTCTCTCTACAATCTACAAACATTGATGTTAAGAAAATGTCGAAATCTAAAAAAGTTGCCGACAGACTTGGGAAACCTAATTGACCTACGTCATCTCGATACTATAGATGCACATGCCTTGGAAGAAATGCCACTGGGAATAGGTAAGTGGGCTAGTCTTCAAACACTATCCAATTTTGTTGTTACTAAGAACAATGGGCTTCGAATAAGGGAGTTGGGGAACTTAATTTATCTTCGGGGGAAGCTTTGCCTATCTGGGTTACAGAACATGGTGGTTCCATTAGATGCAAGGGAGGCGAATTTAAATGATAAGCAGGGCTTAGATGTGTTATCGATGGAATGGAGTGTGCACTCAGATGATTCACGAGATGCAAGAGTTGAAACAGAGGTGCTTGACATGCTACAACCTCACAAGAATTTAAAAGAGCTCCATATCAAAGGCTACCTTGGTACAAGATTTCCGACTTGGATAGGAGATCCTTTGTTCTCCAATATGGCTCACCTAAGTTTAAACAATTGTGGAAATTGTACATTCTTGCCACCACTTGGACAACTGCTCTCCCTTAAAAAGCTTTTCATTAGAGGTATGAGTGCACTAAAGCATGTCGGTTGTGAGTTTTATGGGCAGGGTGGCGCCAAACCTTTTCCATTACTAGAGACTTTAAGCTTTAAGGATATGCCGGAATGGGAGTATTGGTATACTTTTGAAGATAAGGAAGTTCAACCATTTACTCATGTTATTGAGCTCTCCATCAAAAATTGTCCTAAACTTCTTAAAATGTTGCCCAATGATCTACCTTGTTTGAATAATCTAGATATTACGGGGTGCCCGCAATTCGTAGTTGAAGTTTCCAACCTCGTCCTCCCGTCACTCACATCCCTGGTTATGAATGATGTCCCTCTTACAAGCCTTCAAGTGGTCCTTGAGACGAGGAACATGGTTGATGATGAAGTGATGTTGGCAAATGCAAAGTCTAAGCATCTGAGTTCAATAACTTCCTTAAGCATTGGGATGATTAAGAAACTCGAGCTCTTGCCGAAATGGGTTACTCATGAGCTGATGGAACTCAAAGCATTAGAGATCACAAGCTGTGAAGAACTTAAGACACTGTGGAAGAATGAGGCAAGAGTGCAACACAATCTCCCTACATTCCGATGTTTGAAAATTAAAGGTTGCCCCCAACTTGTTTCATTGTTTGAAGAAGATGAGGATGAAGAAAACAAAGGGCAACATGAGCAGCAGCAGCAACAAGAGGGACTCCCTTGCATAGTGGGGAGGCTTGAGCATCTAAGAATAGATAATTGTGAAAAGCTGGAGAAACTGCCACGGCTGCGACATACCTTCACTTTTCTTCGAGAGTTGTATGTCTTTGATTGTCCAAGCCTCGACTCTTTTCCAGAGACAGGTTTTCCATGCACGCTAAAAAAACTCGAGATACGTGGTTGTGAGGCTCTGCAATCCTTATTCAGGTGGATAATGCAGATTAATGACAATAATCTTGAAGTGTTAGAGGTTGGTGGTTGTCCATCCCTCACATGCATGATATCGTGCAGAGGTGGGGGGCTACCACTGATCGACAATCTAACATTCCTAAAGTCAAGGTCGTTGATGATGATGATGATGAGTGATAAGCTCTGTGGAGATTCCCACCGCAATACAAAGCAGTCAAATTGCCAGGTACCCTATATCACAATAAATACATAAATATGAAGTATCATTATCTTCAACAAAATAAAAATAAAAAAATAAAAAATGGCAAATTAAACTAACCGTCCCTATAGTTTGGGACTTGTGTCACTTTGATTCTTGACTTTTCAATTATGACACATTTAACTCAAAATTTTGAATTTGTTCCAAATAAGGACAATTGAATATACTATTGCTTAATTTTAAGAACAAAATCATCAATTTGATAAAATATAAACTAATTTGATAAAAATAAATGTCAAAAAAATATTTTTGAATATTTAAAAATTATTTCTACCCACTAAAGATAAAATTATGTAAAATTGATAAATCTTTTAGACATTTATATATTTATTTATTTATATCAAATTAATTTTTACTATGTGTTTGGACGATGAACATGTAATGGGTAGTTTTTATTTTCATTAAATTAGTTTCTATTTTTTCAAAAGTCAAATATGGCGACAACTTTAATATCATTATTAAATCAATCCATTAAATCAAAAATCCAAAACTAAAAACATGTCATATATTAAATATATCGATTACACATTATAATCCTAACAATCACCCATTATATAGTCATCATCTAAACACATAATAAAAATTAATTTTGTAAAATAAATAAATAAATAAATGTGTAAAAAAATTATCAATTTTACATGATTTTATTTTTGATGGGTAGAAATAATTTTTAAAAATTTAAAAATATTTTTTTGACATTTATTTTTGTCAAATTAGTTTATATTTTATCAAATTGATGATTTTGCCCTTGAAATTAAGCAATAGTATCTTCAATTGTCCCTATTTGGAACAAGATTCAAAATTCAAGGTCGAATGGTCACTATTGAAAAGTCATGGACCAAACGGATACGAACCCCAAACAATAGGGACTATTAGTGTAATTCGCCCAATAAAAAAACATGTTTGGTTGAGTTTTCAATTTTTTTTATTTTTTTTTATTTTTTTTTGTTTTTAAAACACAGAAATTAATTTGATAAAAATACACATTTAAAAGATATTTTCAGATTTTAAAAAAATATTTTTTTTTTTTTCAAAAATAGAAAACCATATGAAAAACGATAAGTGTTTTTATTAAGATTTTTTACTTTTATAGATTTTAAAAAACTCAACCAAACAGTCAGATTGATAGCAAATATTTCCAGCATTGCTAATTTTTAATGTCTTTCTGCTTATTGATTTACAGCAATTTTTTGAATGAGGGATGGCTATGCATGACAATGTATTTTAAGGGTTTGTTATGAGGTTCTATTTCTATGATTCTGGCTCTTCCCATACTTATTGTAAGTATCATCAAAGCTAACTTTGTTTCTCAAATATTCTTTTTTTCTTTTATTTTGTAAAATTGCTTCTCCACCTATGAAATTGAACTCTTGAAATAGAACCATATGTGAAGTTTGTCAATTTAACAAAATTCTTGATTTCGTTTATTAGCTAAACTTTTCATTGAATAGTTTTTGCTTTTAGCATTTTGTTGATTGGAGTCTAATATTGTGTTTGGTTGGGGGGATTTGGAAAGAGAAAGGAAAATGTAATCCCATTTTTGTTTGGTTATAATAAACAATATATCGGAAAAGAAAGGGAGTGAGAAATAAATTAAGAAATAGGAGAACCTTCTAGAACATCAATTATTTTTTATATATGTGAGAAAAGACCCGGGAAAACTGAGAGGAAAAATTTAGCAGGGAGAGAGACTTTCATTGTTCATGGCTTCTCGCAAGAGACCATTCATGAGTAGCTTCAAAAAACCACCACCAAGAAGTTTTGAAGATCTAACTCCGGTAGCAAACTCTGATTCGCAGCATCATTCAGCAAACCCTTCCAATCAGGGATTATCATTTGCTTCAATTGGTAATCTTCAATCAATGAACTCGATTAAAGATTCATTGCCTGGCATTTTCAATTAGGTATTTGTGCTCCTCTTTTATTTTCTCTTACCTTCTCATCAAACTCAGATCTATATTGATTTCTATGGATTTCTATGGATTTGTGTTCAAGCTGCTTTACAATTTTGCTTCAAAGTGAAATTGCAGATCTAACTCTGGTAGCAATCTCTGATTCGCAGCATCATTCAGCAAATCGTTCCAATCGGGGATCATCATCATCTGCTTCAATTGGTAATCTTCAATCACTGAACTCGATTGATAATGCATTGCCCGAAAATTTCAATTAGGTATTTATGCCCCTCTTTCATTTTCTCTTCTCCTCTCATCGAACTCAGATCTGTATTGAAAATTCTATACATACACACACCTATATATGTTTTATTATGAATCAGAGATTATAGATACATGGATTTGTTTATCTATGTTCAAGCTGCTTTGCAATTTTTGCTTTGAAGTGAAATTGCAGAAACCCTATTTGTTTTCTAAGTAGTTTGATGATTTAATATCTTCTTTTAACTTTGCATGAGATTAAATTGGATTTACATTTTTTGTTTGTTTTATTTTATTTGTTTATATATTTGTTTGTTGTGACAATTTGCTTGTTATAGTCTATAGATGTGTGCCTATTTGGTTTATTTCACTTTCTTTTGTTTTGTGTTTTTTTCATGATTTCAAGCTTTATAAATTAACCCTTTCATTCTCATGAAAATGTTTGATTGAATGTTTATTTGAAACGTGAGTTTTTGGATGGTCTGTTGCATTGGATTAAATTAGTTTGGGGTAATATGAGTATAGATCATCTCAGATGAATTTGTAGGACAATAGAAGTGGTGTATAATGGAAACAGTCCTATATTTGGTGCATGTTAACTTCAAGTAGAGTATTTGTTTTAGTATTATTTAAATTAAAAGGGGTAGACTCTATTGCACGTGAAATTAGTTGATTGGGAAAACAAGTTTGAAGCATTGTACCCAAATGGGTTGTCATTTTGAGTGTTGCCTAGTCTATGAACTTTTTGATGTATCATTTCAATTCTGGAACATTATTAACAAGTGGATGTGATTTTTTATATTAAAAAATTGTAGATAAATGATCAAGAGGAGTGGGAAAAGTATAGAAAGTGGGCAGCCACTTGTGTAGCTATGTATGCTTCATATGCTGTCAGCCTTGTCTCAATTCTTCATTGTCGTGATCATATAAGGAAGTCAATTTCAGAACAAGGAGATTATGAAAGATATGCCCTAATTAAACGGCTAACGACTTTGGAAGATGCAGATTGTCGTAGCCAGTTACGCATGAGCAAAGATGCGTTTGCCACACTAGTTAGCATGCTTAAAAGAACTCAGTTTCTTAGAGACAATCCTCAAAGTAAAGTAGAAGAACAAGTTGCAAAATTCCTTCATATAATTGGCCATAATTTGAGGAACCGTACGATCAAGTTCTTTTATAGACGATCAGGTGAGACTGTTAGTCGACATTTTCATCAAGTTCTTAAAGCCATTATATCATTGGAAGATATCTTTTTAAAGCAACTTGATGGATTCAATTGCCCTCCAGAGATTAGAAACAATCCCAGGTATTGGCCTTATTTTAAGGTAGTTACATGAATGCAATTAGGGTATAATTTAGTTATGTTTTAGATAAAGATAATGAAACAATGTAAGCTCGGATTATTATACGTTTACAAGGTGGAATTAGAAAAGGATTAGGTTGGGTTGTCTGGACCTGTGGTACCGTTTTAATAATATAAACTATTTACTTTATAAAAAAATTTGTGTCTATTATTCATAAAAAAAATTAGGTCGAGCTGATATTAAATATGTTATGATTTAACCTAAATTAAATAAGTTATAATTATCAGATCAACCTAAGTTATTTTAGAGTCGTGTTATAGAATGTGTACCATATGCAAGTTATGACATTTATTGTGTTGTTTACCACAAATGTCATTAGATTCTTTTCAATCATTACTAAAAAAAATTATATTTTTGAGTTATAATTAAACGCTACATGAGCTATAATTAAAGACATTTTTGCTCAATATCAAAATAATATCATAACCAATATCACAATAGGATTGGCTTGACAATATGTTATTTTAGTAATTTTTTAACTTTTTTTTTTCTAAAATATTAATTAGGTGAAGGAAATAAAAAATACTTATCATTTTTATACAATTTTATTTTTTGGGAGGCTATAAATAATTTTAATTTTTTTTTTAAAAAAAATGATTTTTATTTTTATCAAATTAATTTTTTATTTTTTTATTTTTAAACATTGAAACTTTTTCCTGAAAAACAAATAGCACTTTGATCATGTACACCCTTATTTTTTGTTATTGCAAACTTCATGATGCAGTCTATGTGTGATGATGGGCAATGAGAGAGAGTTCTTGAGAAATGATATCTTTTCCTTCTTCAATTCCCAACTCAACTGTTCTTGTAATATACCCATTATGTACTCATTTGCTTTACATCAATATAATCTTTTTCTTTTGCTGATAAAACAAAAAATTGACAAGTTAATTATTATTATTTGAATGTTATCTTGGAATGAATTATATTTCAATTTGTTATTGTATTATGTGAAACATTGCGTTTGTTTGGGTGATAATTTGCTACTAGCTATGCTCTTCTTCTGATATGTTTTATGGCGTTTTTGAGTGTAGGTGGAAGGTGGCCAAGAATACTCGGTAGAAATTGACAAGAAACATTTGAAATGGAATAATCAAATAGATGTTGTTCTTATCGACTCACTCTTGGACCAAATGCTCAAAGGGCAAAAAATTGGTGGTAGTTTTACATCATCTGCTTATAGAGCTGCAAGCAATTCGGTGAGTACCAAGTTTAGCATACATTGTGATTCCATTCATGTAAGGAATCGGTTGAAGACTTTAAAAAGGAATCTTGCAATGGCTAAAGATATGTTAACAATTGATAGTGGATTTCAATATAATTATTCAACACAACTGATTGAAGCTACAGCAGGTATAGGCAGCTTACCTCAAGGTATATCTAATTGCAAGATTGATTTAGTTCTGTACTAGAAAATTAAAATATTTATTCATCATTATTTAATGAAATATTATATATGCTATTCTCTATAGGCAAAGCATAAAGCTTCTCATTTTCGACATGCTCTGATTCAAAACTTTCAAAATTTATGTCAACTCTTCGAAAAGGATTGAACAACTGGGAGTCTTGTTGTAGGTCCAAAAGAAAAGCGACTTCATTGGGCTGGCTAACAAATTCTTTTGGACAATGAAAATACTGATTAGACATAGTCATTCTCAGTGAATTTTGATGGGATTGGAACTCAAGATGACCAAATTTTTGAAGTATCTTGTTCCTCTAACTCAAAGAAGAGAAAGAATAAATCAGGTGATACTCTAAGTAAGGAAATAAGGTCAATTAAGGATGGTCTAGATGCAGTTGCAGCAGCACTTGATCGTGGTAACCTTCGGAACCACACAAATGGAAAATTATTTGAAGAGATTGAGAAGGTTAGTGGCATGAGTGATGATTCTCGAATGAAGGTGTATCAAGTTCTTGCTAAAGAAGTGAGTGATGCTCGAGCATACCTAGAATGCCCTATTGAACGCCGAGGTCTTTGGTTGTCTGTTAAATTTGGATCTTCAATCTCTAATGCATAGTACTATTTTTCTTTCTTTGGTACTTTTTTATTTGAAGTTTTTAGGGATATGGTGAACCTATGAAAATATCATTAGGCTTGGATTTTTTGTATGTAGACTCTCTTAGTTGCTTGTTGCACATGAATGGTAGATTCAGGGCATGTTTGTGTCCTTGAGATTCCAAATGGTCTCTATTGCTTAATGGCCTCTGTTGCACTTATTTATGATATTAATGCTATGTACTGCTTATCAAGTTCTATTTTATTGTTGATTTTTTTTTTTTTTTTTGTAATGCTTGTGAGATTATTCTGATAAAACTATGGATCTTTAACACTGATTAATGTTTTAATAATATTAACTTGACCATCATTATGTTCAACTTAAATAGGAACTCTTGGAATCATGAACTAATCAACAAAACTATTTTTTTGTTTTGGTTTTGGTCCAGTTTTATAGGTGTTAGCTGTTTAGTTTGGATCTTAAAATCATAAAATCGATATACTATTTGATTTGGTTTTCAAAAACTTATTTTCAATTTTTTTTTTCTAAAATATTAATTACGTGAAGGAAATAAAAAAATAATTATCATTTTTATACAATTTTATTTTTTGAGAGGCTATAAATAATTTTTAAAAAATTTTAAAAAATTGATTTTTATTTTTAACAAATTAATTTTTTTTATTTTTAAAAATTGAAACTTTTTTTTTTCTGAAAAACAAGCAGCACTTTGATCATGTACACCCATATTTTTTGTTATTGCAATTCACAACTACAATTCTATGTGTGATGATGGGCAATGAGAGAGAGTTCTTGAGAAATGATATCTTTTCCTTCTTCAATTCCCAACTCAACCAAACATAGTTGGGATTTGGAATCTTATTAATTCTTCCTTCTTTTCCTTCCATTTCCATTTTCCTTCCCGAATCCCCCAACCAAACACAGCCTAAAGGGTATGAAATTCATTCTGCTTCAAATTCTGAACATAAATCAAAATTGGAAAATTATGGACTACATTTAATGTTTTGGGCATCATATCTATCTATCTATCTATCTATCTATCTATATATATTATATATATATATATTCGAGAGGTTACTGTACAATATTCAGTAATATCAAGTATTAAGTAGCATGTTGATGTGGTCTCTAAAGTCAAATATTTAACGAAAACTTTACGGCTACAATGAATGTTGACTCACCATTCTTAAAGTAGTGACAACGAGATGATCCATCAAAATTGTTTTCTGATTTTTATTTGTAAGGATGTCCACATAAATAAGGGGGACTTACGTGTAGTTTTTAATAGGAGACTTATGTTTAAT